AAAAGAATAAAGAAATTCTATTTAAAAGATAACCCCTTCCAGAAAGAACAGAGACAGAGAAAGTATCAGAAAGCTTATTTAATAAAGTAATTGCTGAAAATCTCTCAAGTCTTGGGAGAGGTATTGACAACCAGATCTATGAAGCTTAAAAGTGCTCAAGAAGGATCAACCAAGATCCTCAGAGATTAATGTTATAGTCAAATTGTCAAAAGCCAACATCAAAGAGAGAATTCTCAAATCAGTAACAGAAAAGCGACATGGTACTACAAGGGATTCTTCATTAGACTATTAATGAAATTCTCTGTAGAAACTTTGCAGACCAGAGGAGAATGAGGTAATATATTCAAAAGTGCTGAAAAATAAAACCAGCCAAACAAGTATTATGACCCTCGTAAATGTGTCCTTCAGAAATGAAGACAATATAAAGCATTTTCTGAAAAAGCAAAAGCTGAGACAATTCATCATATAGGACCTGCCCCTGCCTCACACACACACTCACATACACACACACACACAAATGCTTAAGGGAATTCTTAAGTGGCAACAAAAGACACTAATAACATGACAACATATGGGAGTTTATACTTACTAATAAAGGTAAATACATAGTCAAAATTAGAACACTCTAATTCTATAATGATAGTTTATGGATAAATATACTGCAAATATGAATGATGAAAATATAAATATATTAACAGATAAAAAAGTTTAAAAAACTACAACTACAATAATTTGTTAAATAATATGCAATACATATAAGATGTAAATTGTGATATCAAAAATATAAATTATGGGGGAGAGGGTAAAAGTCTGGAGTTTTGTATGTAATTAAAGTCAACTTTCTAACAATGTAAAATGTACGTTTATAACTATAGGATGTTTTACATAAGCCTCACGATAATGACAAAGCAAAAACGTAGCAGACAAATGATCAAAGCTTAGCCCTATAGACAATCACAGCATCACAAAAGTAGACAAGAGAGGATAAAAGGAATAAATGATCTATAAAACCAAGAGAAAATAATGATCACAATGACAGTAGTAAGTATTTACCTATCAATAATAACCTTGAATGACATTAAATTTGCCAAACAACAAACATAGAATAAGTGGGAAAAAACTAAAAATTAAAAAAAAAAACACTATATGCTATCTACAAGATATCCAGTTTAGCTGTAAACATACACATAGACTAAAATGAAGGAAAGAAACAAGTTATTCCACGTAAACAATAACTAAAAGATAGCAGGATTAGCTGTATTTATACCAGACAATATGAATTTCAATTTCAAAACTGTCACAAAAAATTTCAGAGATGGTCGCTATTTAAAGCTAAAGATGTCACTCTATCAAGAGGACATAACAATTGTAAATACGTATGTACCCATATCAGAACACCTAAATATATAAAGAAATGAAAAGAGAAACAGTAGTACAATAATACTAGGGAACTTCGATATGTCACTTTCAACCATGATAGATCAATCAGATAGAAAATTAATAAGAAAATCCTAAAATTGTACTGCACTTTAGAGCATAAACTTAATAGTTATATACAAAACTTTCTATGCAGTAGTAGCAAAATACACATTATTTTCTACTACGCATGAAACATTCTCAAAGATAAACCATATGATAGGTCACAAAATAAGAGATAAGAATTTAATATGATTGAAATCATATCTAGTATTGTTTCTGACCACAATGGTATAAAACTAGAAATCAAAAATAGAAGGCATTTTGGAAAATTTATACTTACATGTATATTGAAAAACATGTTCCTGAATAATAACCTACGTGTCAAAGAGAAACAAGTAGTGGGTCAATCACTGGGTCAAAGTTGGTTTCTTGTAGTTTTACAGTGAAAATACAATACACCAAAACCTATTGGATGCAGCAAAAGAAGTTCCAAAAAAGAAGGTTATGGTTATAAATGCCCATATTATGAAAAAAGATCCCCAATAAATAGCCTAACATTATGCTTTAAGGAACTATAGAAAGAAGGGCAAACTAAACTCAAAGTTAGGAGAAGAAGGAAATAATAAAGATCAGAACACAGTAATACACAGAATAGATAATACACAGAATAGAAAAACAAAAAATAGTTGCTTTAAAAATAAATTAAATTGAAAAATCCTTAGCTAGACTAAGAAAATGGGGAAGAGACTCAACTAAAATCAGAGATACGGTAGAGACATTACAACAGATGTTTAACAAATATAAAAGGACTATATGGGAGTATTGTGAAGAATTATATGCCAACAAATTGAATGATATAAGGAAAATTGATAAATATCTAGAAGAATTTCCTGAGGTTAGGTGTTTAAAAAAATTTACCAAGACGGAATTAGGATAAATAGCATGAGCAGACAAATAACAAATACAGAAACTGAAGTAGTAATTTAAAAATCTCCCAACAAACTAAAGCACAGGATCATACAGCTTCATGGCTGAATTCTACAAAATATTCAAAAAAAAAAATACCAATAGTTCTTAAACTCTTTCAAAATATAGAACTAGATGAAATATTTTCAAATATATTTTATGAGCCAAGCATCACCCAAGTCAGACAAAGGATACCACAAGGGAAATACAACACATACACACACACACACACACATACACACACACACACACACACACACACACACTCACACACCCCAGTATCTCTAATATTAATGCACAAATTCTTAATGAGATATTAGCAAACTGAATTTTAAAAGATTCTACATTATAACCAAATTAAATTTCCCTCTGACAGTCAAGATAGGTTTAACATATGCAAATAAATCAGTGAGATATATCACATTAACAGACTGAAAGTTAAAAGAAAAGTTCATTTTAACTGATGTAGGAAAAGCATTTAACCAAATTTAAATGCACTTTCTTCATAAAAAATTAAAAATAAACATATTGGGCATGGAAGAAAGTTTCCTCAATGCAATCAAGGTCATTGAGGAAAAACCCACAGCTAACATCATAATCGGTGGAGAAAAATGAATAGCTTCTTTTCTAACATTCGGTACAAAGCAAGGTTACCTACTTACACCACTGCCTTTAACATATTATTGAGAAAACTAGCATAATTTTACAGAAATGAGGGCTGTATTTTTTAATGACTCAAAGCATTAGATACCCCCAAAAATTTGTTAGTATTTTCACATCTATAATTCATACTATATGATGCTAAATAGACTACATTAAATTAAATACCTTGAATTGTCATTACTGAAAGAATAACAGGGCTCTCACATTTGTGTTTAAAAATTATTCATTAATACAGTAATTGTGTTAAACATGTTGTAATCTCTCATCTGCTACAGTTCGTATTAAAAATCAGGTGACTGGGGGGACATACATATTATTTGGTTCATTTTGCTGTAGTTCCTATTTTATTTCCTACTTGTATTTCCCATTTGTTGCTTAAAAAGCAGGAAATCCTATAAATAATAATTATTGAATGAGTATTGACCAAAAAAACTAAATAATTTAATACACTGTCTGTAAAAAATAAAAATAAATAAAATTTATAGGAGTGATTGACAAGTGATTTTGGCAGTCTCTTTTCATGAAATGTGGTACATTCCTGATGAATTCCCCAAATATCTCCTCAGCCATGAAACTCAGGATATAAATAAATATTGCTAAAACAAATATTTCAACAATAAAAATTATGTATACATACTTTAATTCTATATATATGCATCCATGTTTATGTGTATGGTTTATTTTGTTGATTTTATATTTTCATTACTGAATTGTTCCTTAAAATTGTTGCTTGTATATATATATGTGTGTGTAGGTGAAAAAGTTCAATCATACATATGTTCTACCTTCTGATATATTATTGGCTTTATACTTTTTATCCTACTATTTCTTTGTCTTTGACAAGTCATTTGTCTGATTTGTCCATTGAAGAGATAAGCTAATTAGTCTTTCTCTTTGTATTTTATTGGAGCACATCATTCTATTATTATATACACTGAAATATCAATGACATCAATTAGAATTTATATAGTTTATGCTTTTCTGCTCCCTAAAATACTTACCTGTGTTTATGATTTATGTTGAAGCTATATTGTTAGACACTCTATGTTAATAGTAAGACTACCCACCCAAAGAATCACAAGGTGTCTCCAATCATTAGATAAATGTTATTTCAATAAAGTATATCTGTAAACTCAGCAAAAAAAATTGAAGGAATTGAAAAATATATAACAGAAAAAAGAAAAAGTGTTGTGTAGAAAGTTAGTGTTTCATGTGCATTTTTCTATTTGTGATTTTTATACATAAATGAGAAGTTAGAATCAATATATTAGCATACCAGTTTCTTTATTTGTAGCAAAATGGATGCCTACAGAACAGGATATTATTTGTTCATTTAACACATCATTCCTTCACTCTAAAAATATTATTTAAGTTTCTATATGTGTTGGGCATTATGTTATGAAACAGTGAAGGAAAATTATAAAATTATCATAAAATTATTATACACAGTTAAAGAAATTATGCTAAAGGGAAAACTTAGCATCTATTGTGATGAGGTTTACTAATTAATAGGTGAGACAGTCATTTGTCAAATAATCACACATACATGTACATACACACACATGCAAAACTACAACTGTGATAACTGCACAAAGAGGAGCTTTTTATGCTCTGGAGGCATATTGAGAAAGATGACATTTTCTAGGGAATAAAATAAATGTGCCTTAAAGAAACTGATTTAAAAATTTATATTTGAAGCAGAGAGTTATCTAAGAGGAAGGAGTGTATAGTAAGAAGAAAAGAGTTTTTCTAGAGTAAGGAATTCTCTTTGACAGAGGCCTATATGGAGAAAGCATGGAAAACAGTATAACAAAATCTGAAAGATTACTGAGGTTGGAACACAAAAATTAAAGAGTATAAGCAGATGAAAGTAAATAAGTTGAAGAATTAGGCAGGAATAGGTCAGTGTAGAGCCTTCTGAAACATTTTTTTTTATTTCATTTTTTTTTAAGTCTCTGTAAAGACAATCAAAAATTGCCAATGCCCACTATATTTCAAGTCGTCATGGCGGGGTACTGGGAAAAGTTTTCATGTAGCAATAATCAGGCCTCAGATAAACCTCATTGGCTATGATACTGCCACTGCACAAAGCTCTGAAACATCTTAAGGACTCAACAAAAAGTCACGGAAGTGCTTCAGCTCTTGGTATGGATGGAATATTCGATGAAAAACAATCAACTTTATAATAAAATTATTAATGTGGCCATAGAGGAGAAAACGGGCTACAGGGAGGTCCACACAAAGAAATGCAAACACATATCTTAGAAGGTTAATTGCAGTAGGCAAGTTTTTGATGAAAAGTCCCTTATCCTGGTGACAGAATAGATTATTCATTATTTAATGCCAACTATTACTAGATCATGCTTTTAGTATATGATAGGTGGACATAAGGCAGTTCATGGAAGTAAGTCTTTCAACAGGGTGACATTCTAGGCAGAAGAAAATGATAATCAGCCAGTAAATAAATGACATGAAAATATAATTTAAGGTAGGAATTACTATCATTGAATAGAATAAAGTGAGAGGATAAAGTGTTTTAATGGGAGGAAAGCTATTTTGCAGAGAATATACAGGGGAGTCTTCTCTGTTGAGATCATATTTGAGCAAAAAGACAAATTTAAAGAATATCAGGTGGCACAGTCAGTTAATAAAATTCTAGGAAGAACAGGAATTCATATATGGCTGAAATGGTGTAAAGAGGAATACCTGAGGAGATATAAGGGTATGACAGAAAAGTATGATAGAGGTGATAGTGAGGAATGTTAAATACAATATTAAAGATGCACATATTGATTTACAGAACCCAATGTGGATAACTGATTAGCAAATTTACTTTAGCTGATGTAAAAATCTATTTTAACCACAACAGAAATAGCATTTGTATATCAATTACGTGGGGTCTGCATAATAATTTATACAAATATCCAACAAGAAACAAATAGAAATCCAAGAAATAAAATCACTAAAAGGCAAGATAGCACACTACTAAGAATGTGAGCTGACTGTCATAAAGAAATGTTATTGCCACTACACACAATATTTAGGTGTGTGATATTTGAAACATTACTTAAATCCTTGGTTATAATTCTCTCACAATGAATAAATGTAAATGTCAATAACTACTTTATTAAATTGAGGCAAATAACAGGATTTTGAGCAACTCAAATTTTACCAGCCTTGCTGTTCTCATCTTTCTATGGAAAAAAGATGGACAGTCTTTTATCCCAATCCTTTCGGGCTAAATATATTTTAGAATTCCATTTTATTTTGCTTTGTTCTCCATGTTAAGTTTACCTACCATAAAATAGACCCAGCATGATCTGTGGCAGCCAACATACTTCTCTTAGTGAAATGGCTGGAGTTTCAAACTAATCTGTAAGTTGTCTCCTGTCAACTCAGGTCAGTTTTTCTGCCTACAGAGTTGCAAAAATTCTTTTTGAATTTATTTTTCTTTTTGTATTTCGTTATTGCACGCAAGGAGTTATGGGCTTGTAGTAAGACACACAATCTTTTCCTCTAGGAAACAGAAATAACAACTGTGTTAATAATTACAAGCACATCAAAGTATTAAAGTGCCAATGAAATTCAAACTAATTGTGAGATGAAATGAGCTTTCAGTTGAAGTTTTGTTACCAATATAATATTGTTACCAATATAATATAATATAGCTACTCTAATATAATCACCATATATTTATATTAACTGATTATAAATAATTATATTTATTTATAATAAATGTTAGTGATTATATTTATAATCAATACAAAATATCATTTTCTCATAAATATAAACATTATATTTATTCAGAAGTGCAGTCTAGTGGTAAATAAGGATATATGTGTGTGTGTGTGTGTGTGTGTGTGTGTGTGTGTGTGTGTATATATATATATATATATATACACATATTTAGGATCTATGCCCTCAAGGAGGACAAGAAACCATAATACATGTCAAGGTGGGATTCTCTAAATTAGTGCACAAACTGCATTCATGTATTTCCTGTGTATTCTAAAAGAAACACTATAGTATATGATGCATGTTGTCTGTTTTATATATGTATAAACATTGACAATAAGCAGTGATTAGCTCTTGTCCTTTTATATTGTATATTACAAGAGCTATTTTGCTTCTTCAGATTGTCTAATATAGTATGACATTAGAAGTTGGTTACAATAGGCACAGGCACATTATATCACAATTCTCTCTATTCACTTGCTCAGCTTACTGTATTTTTATGGTCCAAGTACTCAACCTGTAAAGGACTGTTTCAGTCCTCAGGCTACAAAAAATGTTGATGGAGGAAAGTTTTCTCTATATTATAAAATTCTATGCCACATAAATATTTTACAAGGCTCTTGGGAACTACTTCTACTAAATTTTTAAAATGTAGGTTGATTAAATGTATACCTCCACAGGTTGTATGTGCTTATTCTTACCCTCCCCTTCTTTTTTCTCCATCTTACAAAACAGTTCTTTGACCTACAATATAGTGACCTTTATAATGAGTTTATAGAGAATCAATCAGGGTGGGACAAAACTAAAATACAGAATAGTATCCATTATATTATATTGGTTAAACTCAGCAGGCGTGACAAGTAAAATACAGCTGATTGATTTTCTGACCTTTAAAGAATTTTGTATATAAAGTACATACATTTTGCAATACTATGTGTGCAATGCTGAAACAAAAGTTTAATCATATTGGAAACTGCTTATTTTGGTTTCTGTAAGATATCTCTCTCTCCCCACCCCCACCCCGCCGTCTCTCTCTCTCTCTCTCTGTCTCTCTCTCTCTGTCTCTCTCTATTCCACCTTGGTGTGGACCTTTTTAAGTCTTTTTTTAAAAAAACTATTTTTTTCTTTTCCACCTTTGAGCTCTTTCACTCTTCTAATAAATATGCTCCAATACAAACTCCTTGCAGAAATAGCTATCTACATTACTGGCAACAACAGACAAATCAACAGGTATCTTATACATATTGCTTTTATAACCAATCCCTTAATTCTAATAATCTCTCAGTGTAATCAATGTAAATAATAAGAATTTATAAGCCATTCATTTTTAAAAGGAAGCAGAAGGTGCTAGGTTATAAAAGAGTGTCATGCCCTTCTGGTAAGACACTAGAAAATCATAATGAAGAGCGAATAAATTGTTATTTTAAAACATATTGATACTGGTTGTAATTAAGAACTATTGACATATGGTATCACAGATACCCTTTTGATGTTGATAACTCTTAAAGTAATATTTAACAATGGAAGCATTTAACTCAAATGACATTTAACTCAAACAGTCATCTCCCAAAAAGAGATACATCAAAAACATTCATGGCTATTTGTTGTCTTTTGCAATTCTGTAGAGGCAACAGTAGATCTTAATTATATTCTAAGTGGAAGAATTGTCATAATGTTGTTAATTTTTACCTAGCCATTCTTATTAAAATTACATATTCCAATTATTGATTTGTATTATATGGAGAATAATTCTAATCTTTTATTGATGTTCATTTATAATTCTATAACATAGCTAAATCATTATCAAAATTAAAGACATCCCTAATTTCTTACCTTTGTAAAGTTAGATATGTATATCTAATATTTGAAGGTGCTTTAAGGAATAGTTCCAAATTTCTTTATTCAGTTTCTTTTTATTACTCCCATATCTTGAATAAAACAAAATTTGAAGCATTGTCTCTTATGGGCTGAATTGTGCACCCTCAAAAATTTACATGTTGAAGTACTAACCCCTCGAACATAATAAGGTGACCATATTTGGAGACAGAATATTCACACAGGCAATTAATTAAAATGAGGTCTCTTGGGTGGGCCTCAATCTAATAGGACTGGTGTTCTTAAAAGAGGTAATTTGTACCCAGACATCAAAAGAAGGAAGATGATATGAGAACACAAGGAGAAAAAGACAGCTGTCTACATGCCAGGAAAAGAGGCCTGGAACAGACCCTTTTCTTGCAGCCCTCAGAAAGAATCAATTCTGCCGACCCACTGATATTGGACTTCCAGTATCCAGAATGTGAGAAAATAAATTTCTGTTGTTATAGTCACCCGGTTTGCAAATTAGTACAATGGCCTCATTTGACCATGCCATTGGATTTTCTCTGTTCCTCTAAGCACAGCAAAAGATATAGCTGGTAACAGGTAGTCACTTAAAGCCAAAAGTTTCCAGAAATAATAAAGGAGATTAATATCTTAGGTAATACTATAGTTGAAGAAAGAAAATGACCAGAAGTGAAAACCATTTGTTCCTCTCTAGGCAGCCAGAAAGTATTGCTTTTTAATTTTTCCTGTTACATGTTTAATGAATATGCATTATTATTGAGTGTTTAAAATTGAAGAGGCAGCATGATTTAGTGGATAGTCTGAACACCTAAGTTTTCAACTACATTTACTATTGACTCACTACAGTGACCTAGTGCAAGTCACTTTATCATCATTATCATTATATTATTATCATTATATTTTTATGACTCAGATGAATCTGATTTGAACTCATTATAATAGCATGTTTTTCAGTAGCCCAGCACATTGCAGTAATCTATTATTAGAATAGTGAGCTCCTGAGTATATTGCATGCACTGAAAAATGCTGATATCAAATTGAACAATATTATACATTTTCAGTTTCATCATGGTAGACAGCAATGTGCTTAATATTAACATCATTGGCCTTCTCTACCTTCAGTTTTTACTTTACTTAAATAGAAGTTAATTTTCAGGAATATTCAGAGTTCTACATATGAAACATCAATTCCAAAAAAAGTTTGATAATTTTTCTATTTTTCAAAGGAGATTATGGATCTAAATATTATAGTTCAATTTTGTTATAATATTAATTAACTAGATATTTTCTGTTTTACTGCAAACATCTCTTTTCTCCTAATGGAAGAATTTTCAGAATAACACGTATCTATTATTTTATGTTTATGACTCTTTTTTGCTCATTATTATCATTTTATGTTAGTATATTTATTAGCAGTTACTTTCTGAATTGCTATCCTATATAAGCATATGAATGCTTTAATTAATTTATTTAAACAATAGTGAGAGATATTTGCAATTATGTAATCACATTTCTG